AGCGCATGCAGCACAGTTCTGGAACTGTTCCCGCACAGTTCCAGCACAGTGCGAGAACTGTGCGGGAACAGTTCCAGAACATGGGAATCAGTATGAACCCAGCCTTACTCTGGCACCTACGGTAGGTGCCAGAGTAAGCGAACATTTTGTCCAGATTGGGTTGCGCAGAATGGACGTCACTCACCATGCTGGCGTCAATCCAAGTGACGTCAAATCTGCGCGGAACCCAAACTGAACAAAATATTCGCTTACTCTGGCACCTACCTAAGGCAAGCGTTTTACCTCGCGGCACGTGCTCCCTAGTGATGTTCGGTCCGTGCGGTCAACGAATGAATTATACCAGTTGATTGTGCCAAGCTATGTGTGGGAGTCCCATCGCTTCATGGCAGTGTAATGTTTGGAAAAATTCAGACTGTTATATTGTCTGAGAGCGGTTTTTCGCTTCATAGTTGTTTAGAGCAGAAGGGAGGTAGCAGGTCCCAGTTTGCTAACAAGGGAATGGTCAGAAGTCGAAATGGCCAATCCATACAAGCTGCATACCATTCGATGTAGCATAAAATGATGATTTCAAATCTGTCTTCCATATCTGCAGAACGCCTTTGTAGGCGAAGTTATGAGCAGCTTTACTGCGAAGAAGTCGTGCACAAAAATTGCAAAATTAGGCACATTGTTGCTCTTTCAGCTCAACTCTGGGTATGGGTCCTACGAAGTGACTTACAAGGGAGGGATACTGACTAGATCTGCCTTTTGAGAAGAGACACATATATTTGGAATCAGCTTGGAACGCTGATTCCAAATATGCTTTTCTAGCTGCTTAGCATTATTCTGAAGCGAGTTATGGTCTGTCTATGCAAAGTTTGCGTGCACCTCGACCTACTGATGCTACGGTGTAGACGTCTAGATGATTTCGCAATTGTAAAATACTCTTTTCGAAATCGAAATAATTATCATTATCTGAGGCTAGTTCAACATTCTAGCACTTTTTACGAGCAGATTCTTATCTACACGCCGTCTTACGACATTTAGAAGTTTGTTGGTTACACGCAAAAGCAAGCCCATAACTCGCCTCGGAATAATGCTAAGCAGCTAGGAACAGCAATTCTTAATATATGTGCCCCATCTCAAAAGGCGAATCTAAGTTGGTATCCTTCCCTTGTTAGTTGCGTGTTCTGGTCCAACATGAGCCGAGAATGGCGTTGTACGGTCGAGTTTGCACTTTACACACACAATTTCCTAGCAAAATAATGGCCTTCAACGGCTTATAATTTTGTCCACAAAAATGCTCAGTAGATAAGGAAAACAGATTTAGAGTCAGAGTTCTAAGCTGCATCTAATGGTATGTAGTATAGTTGAGACGAACGAAAATTTTTTTCGAATGAACGAATTTCGAATAATCCAATTTCAAAAATTATTCGAACGAACGAATATTATTCGAATTGTGATTTTTGAAATATTCGAACTCGAATATTCGAATTTTGATACTTTTCAAGAATTCGACTATTCGAATAATCGAATATTTGGACGTGACCGAATATTCGACTATTCGAATAATCGAATAATCACATTTGACCGAATATTCGACTATTCGAATAATCGAATAATCAGGCATGGCCGAATATTCGACTATTCGAATAATTCGAATGAATCTAGTCTTGGATAAACTCAGTCCGAATGTCCTTCTGTGGCAGCATCTTGCAACAGGTGTGCCAAGTGAACAAGTCAACAAGTGACGCTTAGGTTGGGTGGGGGTTGGCAGTAAGTGACGCTTAGGTTTTTTTGGGGCTGGCAACAAGTGACTCTAATTTTTATGTAATTCTTCTTTTAATTCCCACTATGACTGTGAACCGTAAAGGTCCTATAAAGTCCCTTGCCCGATGAAGTTCTTCGGTGGTGTAAGTATTACACGAGTTCACGCCAAGAAACTGGAGCACGAACAACCCCTAGCTTGAGCCGCAGAAACATAACGGGTGCTAGTAGTAATCCAAGATGTAGCACAACAGCAATGCTGATTTGAATGGGTAGCTTCGTTATGCAGCTTTCGGATAAAGGCATGCGGGGAAGTCAAAACATGTATAGTAGCCGTCATCTGCCTAGTCACTGCCCTGCGTGCAAATGCACAACATTTTGAATCTCCGGATGAGGCAGGTTGTTCGCGCCAGTCCGTGCTTGCACACAAAGGAGCCAGACGGCTAATTTCGCGACGCTAAAGTGTTTGGAGTTTGCTTTTGAAATTTCTCATTTTCTTCTCAGAGGAACATTATGCGATCGCAGTGCGGTGCAGTTGGTGAGTTTGAATTTACTGAATGATCCAGCACTGAAGCCTTGAAAAAACCTTACGAACAACAGTGCTTTTTGTCATTCCTACCTTTGGAGTTCAAGCACGTTACTTCAGAATAGATGTTGTTTATTACTATCGAGTCATCAAGATGTTGCCTTTAGAAATAACTTTACTGAAGAAGAATGCAAATAAAGAGAAGCTGTAAGTAAATCAATCTCCTGAAAAAGCGAGTCTCGTCTGATGGGACAAACAACACCCTAATGCAAAGTATCATTCTGTATGTGACTGCAGGAGACTCGAAACTGCTTTGCACACATTGTCAAACAACCATGATCGTGACGTTTACAGGTTTATACCTCCAGTCTGACCGATTTGGATTATTTGCTACTTGGAGAGGAAAAATCACGTTCAAACCGTTTAGGCAATGTGCGCAAAGCGGGGTCTCTAAATCACAGAATGAATAATAAAAGTCTTTCTTTGTAGAGGACTACTGATTTGAGTAATACAGGATGCCTGCGCTTACATGGTGCACCAATTCACTAAACAAAATCACCCTTCGGGCAAGGAAGCATAACGGGACTAGTGCACCATTCATATAATGATTCGATTATCTGGAGTTTTCGATCCATATTTATCGCTTCAGGCACTCCTTAAAGCTTACATCACCTTGTAAGTATCGTGAACTGATCGTTAGTTCATCCAAACATGTTAACATTCAGCAGAATGCAGAAATTGATACTCTTCGTAGAGATCGTATTGGACTCCTCCGCTGGAAAAAGGTTTGAAAACTCCCATCCTCAACAAAATCGGCATTGATGACACTGTTAGCTGTCAATACAATGAATGATAGACGACAACTTCATTCATTTCGCAAAAAAGCATCAAAAAATGAAAAAAGGACAATTCGGCGTTCCAAAATTAGCCTTCTTGCTGAAATAGCTTGATGACTTGATGTAAACAACATCATTCACTGTCAGAAGTAACGTGCTTGAACTCCAAAAGTAGAAATGACAAAAAGGACTAATGTTAGCAAAATCTTTTCAAGGCTTCAGTGCTGGATCATTCAGTAAAATCAAACTCACCAACGCATCGCACTGCGATTGCATAATATTCCTCTGAAAAGAAAATGAGAAACTTCAAAAACTCGACAGAAACCATCAATGACGTGGGTAGCTGCGTTCATACAAAGGAAGATAGTCGACAACTTGAGCAACAGGCAAAAAGTATCAAAAATGAAATGAAAGCACTTTAACGTCACGAAGTATGATAAAGCTCTGCTACGAAGAAAAACAGCTCAATGGAACTCAGGGGAAATGGGGTGTAGGGCGGTAGGCGACAAACCCAATTTTTTGGACCCCAAAGAACTCCCCGTGCAAAACGTCTCCTCCGCCAAAAACAGGGGGGTGGGGGTCGGGGCCTATACATTACCCGACGCCAATGAAAAAATGGTGCATAGTTTTGAGTTACGGGATTTACGTTGCTTGCTTTTGCACGTTTTGTCGCCTAACGCTTGCCCTCCGGGGAAATGCACTGATGCGAAGGAAACGTAAATCAATCAATGTTTGGGCGAGGTCCCGCAACGAACCGCGTTCTTTGGGAGCTGTTACGCGTTGTTACAACTCCCCCCATATTAGAGACTCCGAAGAGTGGTCGTTCAGAAGCCGACAAGAGGAGGCGACCGGTAGGAAGTTAATTTCTGTCGGTTCGAATATTCGAACATTCGAATAAGTCGGTTGCAAATAATCGAACATTCGAATAAGTCCTTTTTTTGTTGCGTCAAATATTCGAATATTCGAATAGTGGTTTTTTCCAACGTATCGAATATTCGAATATTCGAATACGCCGTTTTTCCAAATGGGCGAATGAACGAATATTCGAATAATTGCCTCTTTCGTATATTCGACTATTCGAACAGTCGAATAATTGCGTTTTTTTCAAACATTCGACTATTCGAATATTCGAATAGTCGAATATTTCGAATAAATTATTCGAACTCGAATATTCGGTCTCAACTATAGTATGTAGCTTTTATGGATTGGCCACTTCGACTTCTGACCATTCCCTTGTAAGTCTCAACCTAGGAATGTTGCGCTTGAAGTCCTCTAGTTTTGAGACCTGCTTCTACGAGCATCAGTTACTAGGGGGTTAGCAAGAAACAATTTGCCTGTATTTCTGTATCATGATATTTAAATCATAAGCATCACTGCAGAGTGTCCGTCTTTGCCGTCCCCATTCCTATTTTGGCCATAAACACCCTACTGTCGGGTGTTTTTTGTTGTTTCGCTGATGTTTGCTGTTCATCTATGCGACTATTTATGTGGCAGCATTTCCTAAAACTTGTGTCTTTCGTCTCCGCTTCTTGTCGAAAAGCCAGTATGGGAGGGGCAAAGGACATTGTGTATAGCGACACATATGATTATCGGCTCAGATTCGTGTGGAGATGAAGTCTTGTCAACTCAAAGCGCAGCGTTTTTTGATAGCGGATGTTGAGAGCGAAAAGCAGTGCTATAAGGTGGAGGATTAATTACAAGTTTATCCTTGAAATCAGAAAGTCCGCAATCCACCCCCACACAAATCTGGGACCCAATCATAGCTGAAAAAGTGGGACATCGTTATAACTGTATCTATGGCTCCATGCTTACAAATTGAACTCACACCGGTGGCAAATCCCAGCGCTTTATCGCTGATTTTACTTTCGGAATTTGCAATGTTTCATTTTCAGATGGTTATGATTGTTCTGTACTTCACGCTATTTCAAGCAGTTGCTACTATCCCTCAAAGGCTTTCCTTCAGCCATATTCTGAGGACAAACCAGTACTTATTGATAACGCAGTATAAATGCCAAACAAATATCGAAACCAATGTAAAAGATGGTTGTCCGAGAGGTTTTGCTCATCAGTTGACTCCGTGAGTTTCAATTCTTAGATTTGTCGTTTTCTGGCCTAGTGCTTTCGTAGTGCATTAGTTTCCATTTTATCCGCAATACTCGGTGTAGTACATTAGAAACAAGGTTGTGCGGTACAATTCAGGCAAAATCCAATCTGTATTTCTAGTGTACGCGCCACACCTTCGAAATATTGTGAATATGCAGTTCGAGTCCATCTTATTCGTGACCCGGAGCGTCGAAGGCCTCCGAGAGCACTATACATAGGGCGGAATTCCAGAGGAAGTACGGTGGCCTTTTTGGATGATCTCCGAGTTGGTTGACTGGTTGGTGGATTAGAAGGAGTTTCAGTGACTACTAATTTAGCTGCCACAAACGTCTGGTCTTAACAACGACTCAGTCATGTACTCTCGCTATGTAGATTTCCCCAACACTCCCCACAAGCATTTGGACCAACAAAAAAGCGTAGATTTTTGAACCACAGTATGATGCCGTGGATAGGGTTGCTTTGAAAGGGGGCGTTTTCAGGAATTTTCCATCTACGATCAGTCTTACCAGCTGCTCTATCTCATCACTCGGAATTCGATTGGTTCTCAACATTGCGTGGTCTACCGACTTTCCAATCTCTTCCCTGGTATGGTTTTTCGAATTTTCCAAAGCAGTATCTTTTTTGCCATAAACTATACGAAGCAATGTGATCACTTGAGGGATCGTTCAGACCGCGCCAGTACCCGTCCGAATCTGCCCAAGTACGTCCGAATCCACCCAAACCCGCCCGAATACGTCCGAACCCGCCTGGCCAGAACTGCCAAAGCGCCAGATTTGCGTTAAGCTAGGTTTAGCTAGGATAGAAATATGCACCACGGGCGCAGTATTCCATGCGTGCTCCAATATGCCAATTTGGACGCATATCTGCTGCGCTTTGGCAATTCCGGCGTTCAGGCGGGTTCGGGAGTATTCAGACGTATTCGGGCGGGTTTGGGCGTATTTGGACGTATTTGGGCGGATTCGGACGGGTACTGGCGCAGTCTGAACGATCCCTTGAAGGTCTATGAGCTGGTGGCATACATGGCTACAGTTGAAGGCGCCCATCAAAATGAAGTTGCTTCCAGTATTTGCCTTTGACTGTGTATAGTTTTGATATGCTTTTTACCTGTTTTATGCAAACATCTTTCGTTGCTATCCACCGATCGCTCAACTCTTTTTTGGTAGGTAACAATGACCGCTCCACGTTCACAGCAACTTACGTGTACGAATTCTCACCTCACGCACTCAACAAGATTCGTTCTGGCTGGACAGAAGATCCGTACAGTAATGAGGTGCTTCAGTTGTACTCGGATTTCTAAGAGGGCTTAGTTTCCACAGTTTTGACTTCTTCTTGATAGACGTTTCAACAACGGAGGATACTAACTTATGCATTCCCCGAATTGTTCAACCATCAATGTGGCTGCCTTCCGATCGTTTCAACACGTGTTTGAAGTTCCTTAGGCCCTGGCCAGACTTCGCTCAAAAGCGCCCAAAAGCGCTCTCTAACCTCTCCTCACTCTCTCTCATTTCTCCTCATACGAGAAATTGAAGAGACACCACAGAAATTTGGGCGCGTTTGAGCGCTTTTGAGCAAAGTCTGGCCAGGGCCTCAAAGTTGCTGGAGCTAACGCGTTGAAACGATCGAAAGGCAACCACGTTGATGGTTCGTATGGAAGTTCTGGAGCATGCACGATAAGTTGGCGGTTGAAGACGAGATGCATATTATTAGGCGCGTCTTTGAACGCTAATTCTACATCTCTTTTCTTGCGGACGAACTCCTTGAATAAGTTATGGGCTTTCAACGTCTCAACTTGTCAAAAAACTCTACCTATACATATTTCTAGTGGCTGTGCTACTTTCTTGCAGTGAATATACTTGGTACGAGTCTGATTACCCACTCAGGTGTTTTTGTAGAGCTTTTCGCTAATTTTACCCCGCTTGAAGCTTGACAAATTTGAACATTCAAAATTTTCTTTAAAGAGTTCTTCCGCAAAAAAGACGATAGATTTAGAATTAGCGTTCGAAGACGCGTCCAGTGATAGGCATCTCGTCCACAACCGCCGACATTGATATCCTTCCTTTATAAGCCCAATTGCAGTGATAGTTTAATCAACAGGTCTTTTATTCAACAACAAATGGAGAAATGACTTCTATACACAAGTTTGATTTGAATCGCTTATTATCTGTTCTCCAAGACGGGTCATCTGGGAAACGAGTATTCACATACACCTCACAGCGCAATTTGTTGAGGTCTGTAGCCGAAATCATTTGGATAGATTGTGACTTTGGACTCATTTCCAGCGTGGCGAGTGGCGTGCTTTTTAGTCAACATCATCAAGAAAATCACACGACTATTTTCATACGGTAAGTGCGTCATCGATTTTTTCTGCTTCTAGCGTGATTATCTTCTGTAAAACTATGAGGACATGTGACAGATGTTGTCTTGACACACCTGCACCTTTCATGAGTCTGTGTAAAGCCTATGTAGGCACGTTCTTGTCTTCCTTCCTGGACTTGAGATGCTCACTACATTTGGTCATAAAATGCACCATTCTTTGGTGGGGCACTTGTGGAAAGCTCAGCACGTTTAGGGTGTCCAACAGTAGAAACGGTCAAGAGGTGCGACTTGACTGCGACTGCGACTACGACTCTTCGGTTGTCACCAACTCAGTAGCCCAATGTGGGATATGCAATTCAATGAAAATTCCTCAAGTGCTTCACGCTATTCAAACTTACCGCTTTCTGAGTTTGACGGCTTTTGCCATAAAACTTGACCAGATGTAAGATATTGCTGGTTTTTTTTTTGCTTTTTTGGGTTTTTGGCCTCCAACGTTCATGCTTCGGTCTGTTTCGAGACAGTGTCAGGCGGAGCGACCCGTGTCAGGTCTTGTATATCTTCTTGAGAATTGGCAGTGCTTCTGAAGAGCATAAAACACTGAGCATGTGCTTTCCATCTGGCACTATCGCGCCTCTTGACAGATCGTATCACCTGTTCTCGCCTTTGTTATATTTTCATTAAAACAGTCCATAATAGTGACATTAGCATTAGTAGGTCCTCCGCTGATTCTTACACTATGTAAATGGCAAAGGCATCCGTTAAGGTTGATTGAGAACAGTCAGCGTTCACTGGGTCTATCCTGCGGTTTCCTCAACGACAAAGGAAGTGCACGCAACGTTCTTCGATCTGTCCTAATTGTGCGGTACGTTGCACTTGTTTAGTTCTCTCAGTCGTTACCTTCCCGCTTACCTTTCCTCACCAAAAGCAATTAAAGGCACCGTCTATCCAGATTTTCGACTTCCAGGTTTTTGTCGTTTCAGGATCTTCTCATGTCCCTGATCCATTATGAAGTCGAGAATCCGCGAAGTTTTTCCCGACCCCGAAAATTCCCGTTTCGGAGAACCGGCAGGCTGGTTCTCCGGAACGGTGATTGGATGGGCGCGCGTGGATGGGCGGGCATGGATGGGAGGGCGGTGCCGTCTGGGGTCCTCGTGCATCTTCGTTATTCCGGAGCGATTTTCTCGTTTCCGAAGCGACATTTTGCGCCGCGACTTGGGCATTGGCTTGATAGGGGGCCCTACTATCATATGCTGCCAAAAGCTCAAAATCCTTGACTTGGGGGTGGACGCTGCCCTTACGGGCAAATACGAAAATGTAGAGGACAGGGGCGCCGGTACTGATAAGGCTCTTGCCCAATTGGCAACGCACCAATTTGCTTCTGAAGCGAGAAGTCCGCTTCAGAAGTGGCGACTGGAACGCCCCGGCGACCGGGACGAGTTAGTTCGATAAGCCAGAGTGCGCATACCGCACACAGTCAAGACGCAGCCCACAAAGACTCTGGTCTCCTTAGTGGCGGCAGGCGACAAAATTCATATCAAGAGCTTCTGGAAAGCCCGTTTTCGGCGTTTTCGTGCCCTCCAAGCTGCATTTTCAGAATCAGTGGGAGGAATAAGCCCAGGTAAGCGAAAAAAAATTCCATTCGAAATTTTGCTCAGATGCTGCCTTTAAAACCTTCTTTTGTGCTAGCATAGCTAACTGATGGGTTGCAGAGTCCCTGTTTCTGTATGAGTTGTAATTATTATTCAAGCTTGACTTACGATAGTACAACATTTTGAAATACAGACTACTGTCATTCATACAACTAAATGGATGTTGCTAATGACAATTAGTCATCATTTTTGCGTTCCCGCAGGATTGATTTTGTGAGTTTGCTCCATCTTACTAGAATCTTACAGGGATTGGGATTACTGCCTTGTTCGACATGGGGTTGGTGCTAATGAGGATTTTTGTGAAAAAGAAAGACATCAGTGGTTAATCAAAGAAGGATTGGTGGTAGGATTTTGATCCGAAGGTTCAGTTTCAATTGTAATTGCCATTCAGAGCGAACGCTCGACAGCATTGTGGTTTTCTGCGTTTTTGATATCTGTAATTGTTTTAGTGATAGTAAGTTTGTTCAAGGTCAATTCTGTTTTCCCCACTCATTTTCAAATGATTATTGACAGACCCGTGCACTGAGACACTTTTTTAATATTTTTAGCTGCTTGCAATTCTTGTTTCGTACATCTGTTGGTTGAGACGCAGCCTAGATGACACGTATGATGGAGTAAGTCTGTGGTTGCAAGTCAAGAATATGTTGTGGCTAATTTTACGCCTATTAAGGATCAAACAACGAACCTTCGCTGTTATCCGGGACAGTATCCCGATATGGATATCTCAGTCGATAGATGGAATTACTGAGGTGACAATAGAATAAGTGGCTTAGAGAAACCCGGCTACCACTATCGCTACCCGCTACCATCAGCTTTTTGCATCTCATGTGGCTACTCTTTAGAAGCCCACAAATTTTGAAGCATTTGTGTTATTCTTTGCCAATGGAATGGGAGCGTCGTGTTTTGTGTTTCACTTTCTGTGATCTCAGCGACATATTCCTCCATAATGATTGATAGATGCTACCTTGTATGTTTATCTGAGTACTGTGTTAGTGCACGATTTGGTTCTGTCTTTTGAGACTTCCTTATTGCCACAGATGTGCCTTATAATATGCCTGTTTTGATTGTTCCTCACTATGTATTAAGTTGTGTAATAAGTTCTGTCCCATTTTTTCTTTCAATTCTTCACAGTATTTTGCGCGGTGTTTTGCAAAATGTATATATGCATTTGAAAGCTTTAAGTCTGCTCTACCAAAATCTTCACATCAGTTTCTTTTATCAACGGTATTTAAAAACTTTCCCAGCATCAAGTTTGGAAAACCAAAGAGGAAGAAATTTCATTTTCGACAACTAATTTGAGTCACCTCCCGTCTAAGTCAGAATGCTTACAAAACAGCTGGAAAAATCTGCTAAACGTAAGGAAAGAATCAAAGCTGTAGCTTCTGCAGAGGTTCAAAAGTGCAGAAAACTTTCAAAAAAAATTTCTCCACACTCGGAAAAGTCTTCTTTCTAATGTCTTTTCAATGTTGACGTTGGGCATCTGAAGGCAGTCCTGAGAAAGGACAGTAGACGCATAATACAGAGAAGGTAGTAGGGATCGTCTTTAGCTATAAAATCATCAAATCCATAAGTTAGTTACTCAAAAATTTAATGTTTGGGGGATACACAGCTTAGGTAGGCAAGGCGCCGAACATCGTCCCCGCAACTTTCGCTTCGCCGACTTCTGAAAAAAATGGCATTAAAAAGTCGGTTGAAGGAGGAGAACAAGCACAAACAGTGTCATTACAACCATAAGAGTCTAATAGGTTGTTCTGTTTGTTGTCAAGCTTGTTGATAAAAGTTACCAATGGAAAACGGGGAAATTTGGAACGAAAAAAGATTCTGGTGCAAGTATTGAGGACAGCTCTTAATCAGTAGTTTATTGGCACGGCAACGTTTTGATTTTTATAATCGTCATCAGGCCTTCAATTACAATATAAATGATATGTAAAATTATGAAATACAAACGGCGCGTGTACCTTCATCTTCTTCTTAGATGGTAGGTAGGGAGGGGTGAGGTTGCGGATAGTATACAGTATCAGTGGCCTCCTTTGGTAAGTCAGTAAAGAATGAACCCCAGTCGCTTGCACTCAAGATATTAGCATCAACACATCTTTCATTTCTTCTTTACTGTTTATTTGTGGGCTATGCTTACATATTTCGTAAGCCTCCCTAATTTTCCTTTCTAAGGTATGTCAAGTCTGAAGAGTTAGCTATTCTCTTAACTTGATCCCTCTACCCTTAGTTTCTTTCCTTTGCTTTAACATAACAGTTCTTGACTAGATTCCTTTATCATTATAACATAAATATAAATGTGGGGGAACATAATTGGGGAGGGGACCACCGAGCACCCGGGGAGTGCCAGCTCATCTGGCGTTGGTATCGGCGAGGGGACTGTCGGACTCTAATAGTCTGCGTCTCGACATGTCCGTTCCATGGCAAAGCTCGTCCTCGAGCTTTTGAAGTCTGCCATGGTAATTTAATTGTCATCATCGGATTCGTTTGACGTTGCCCATTTTGAGGTATCATCGATTGATTTGATTGAACGTTGCCCATATGTACAGTTGAGTTATCATCATTGATTTGGACGTTGCCCATATGCACAATTGATGTTGCACATATACCATTTGCTGCTTTGATTGAGGGAGAATTGCTTCAGGCGTTAGTCGCTGGATTTTTCTTCACAAGGACAGGGGGAAAGGGATGAGAAGGTACGCTTTCGCACGCCCTGTCAGAAGAATGAGCTCGTCTCGAGCTGAAGAATTGGAGCAACATGGACGAGTGATGAGATGATTTAAATGATGGGCAAATCGGGGTACGGATGAGGCTTCCGTAGTGGTTTGGGGAGGCGGATAGGGACTTCCGCATGATGGTAAAATGTGGCAGAGGGTATAGGGAGGCGGACAAAGACCGCACTGGTGATGAAATGTGACATACGGGTATATGATGTCCGTAAAGAAAATAGTGAGCATTGTTGTAGAAAACGAGATTACTGGCATGGAATCTTATATATAAAGCTGAATGTCTGTTTGTATGTATGTATGTATGTCTGTCTGTATGTATGTATGTGTGTACGTATGTTCCGAATAGAAAATTCCATTTCTGAACCGATCCGGACCAAACTTGGCACACATACACTACGGGCCCCGGCGGGTGTCATAGGCTACTTTTCGTCATCGATCGATATCGATTTTATCGATTTTTATCGATTTTTTTGCTGAGTTCACCTACGGGGCTGGGAGTTGGCACAGGGGGGTAATCGAGCATGGGGATTCCGAATACAATATTGGTTTTCAGGATTATCGATTACTTTTATCGATTTTATCGATTTTTTTGCAAAGTTTGAGCTACGGGGCTGGGAGTTGGCACAGGGGGGTAATCGAGCATGGGGATTCCGAATACAATATTGGTTTTCAGGATTATCGATTACTTTTATCGATTTTATCGATTTTTTTGCAAAGTTTGAGCTACGAGGCTGGGAGTTCGCACAGGGGGGTAATCGAGCATGGGGATTCCGAATACAATATTGGTTTTCGGGATTATCGATTACTTTTATCGATTTTATCGATTTTTTGCAAAGTTGGAGCTAGGGGGCTGGGAGTTGGCACAGGGGGTATTCGAGCATGCTGATCATCCCCAAGGGGGGTGATCAGCATGCTCGATTACACCCCTGTGCCAAATTCCAGCCCCCTAGCTCAAATTTTCAAAAAATCGATAAAATCGATAAAAGTAATGGACGATCTTGAAAACTAATATTGTATTCGTAATCTGCATGCTCGATTACCCCCTGTGCAAACTCCCAGCCCCGCAGGTCAAACTTTACAAAAAAATCGATAAAATCGATAAAAGTAATGGACGATCCTGAAAACTAATATTGTGTTCGTAATCAGCATGCTCGATTACCCCCCTGTGCAAAATCTCAGCCTCGCATGTCAAAATTTACAAAAAATCGAGAAAATCAATAAAAGTAACCGATAATTCTGAAAACTAATATTGTATTCGGAATTCCCATGCTCACTTCCCCCCTGTGCCAACTCCTAGCCCTGTAGGTGAACTCTGCGAAAAAATCGATAAAAATCGGTAAAATCGACATCGATCGATAACGAAAAGTGGACTGTGACACCCGCCGGGGCCCGAAGTGTATGTGTGCCAAGTTTGGTCCGGATACGGCGGAGCCGGGTAAGCCAGCTAGTAATATATAAATCGATAGCAAATAACAAAACGAATTATGTTCGAAGACGGCGAAGGAACGGAATGTATACTCCGAACATTTGCCGTTACAGAGCAGGGTAAGCTATGATATGGACATGTAATTTCACAGGATATTGACATTTTTTTTCTAACCTGCAAGCAACTCAGGAGGGAACACTTCCCTAACGTTGATTACAAGGGGCGTGGGTGAAAAGTGATTGACTGAAAACCTTCTCCGAGCCGCCAATCAGAGAATTCTTTCTTTTCATAGTGCGGTTGCTTGCGGGCAAACTTACACTGTGCCAATAGCTGCTGCGTTAATGAAATTTGTGAGGTTGCTATTGGCACTTCTCACTCATTATGAGGGAGACCAATTCGTTCCTTGTCTCAGATGCTCTGAACGTCTGAGACTGGGCCGGAACCTTTTCTGGAAATCTGTTTTGCAAGCTTTAACATGAATGATTTTTTTGTTTTTGGTTGGAGTAGCACAATGATAGATGCAAAATTGCACAAAACTGTTATGAATACAGTATAAATAGAACACGGAAAACTAGGAAATGAATACCTCTATGACGAAGTTGGATAAAGATGATCAGTAAATATCCATCTCGCTTCGGTAGTCGAAAATCATCTGGTCCAGAGCTGCATAATCTTTTACAAATGAATAATTAGGTAATTAGGCGAAGCTGACTTGAGCGCAAACTAGGCAGTATTGTATTACTGCTTGGAACAATTTTCGCCGAGCTCAGGATAAGTCCTGGCGCCTGTATGCCACTCAAGATTAGATAATGACGCTCTGAACATGACTGGGAAAGTGGCCTCTGGTAATCCCATGGGCTATTACATAGCCTATGGAATCACCATAGGCAACATAGCCTACGGACTATCCACAGGCGTCTAGATCACCTGTGGAACTTGCGGCAATTACAGAACGCTATGGCAATTAAACACAATTATAAAAATTTCATACATATGTACAGTGCCGGCGTTGGCGATAGAGTCCCTGAGTTTGTGTAAAAAATAACGATGGAAAGTGAGAAAGAAGAAAATAAATGATTGAAAATAATGTGTAAAGTTGTAGGCGAAATATGGTGAAAAATGGTTGTGAAAATGAATTTTACATGTTTTGGAAAGATAATAGATTGTGAAAGAGAAAATGTGGAAGTTACAAAGTAAAATATGTTTTAAAAAAATGAAAAGTTTTAGACTTGTTTTTAAATAAATAGGGTGGGGAAAGGGGCTAGAGGAAGAAAGAGTAAATATTTACGGTTCTTCACGTGGTATCACGGTGAAAACTGTAAGGAATCACAGCAGATAAAAAATATCATATACCATATTCAATATAGTAATATAGTCATTATCTGCTATGAAACAAAAAAAGACTATCAAATACACAGTAGGTAAAGAATACATGATTATATTCATTACCCACTATGACACGAAAAAATATGACAAAATAAGAAAACACACTCAGACCCATCGCCTGGACTCAAGGGAAAAGAGAAAAGAAAGGGTACATATAGAAAGGGGCTACGTAATTCACGTAGGAGATGAGGGCTGGTGCCGGTGGTGGGAGTATTCAGCAGAGATTGGCCTAATCTATGCTTAGATTTTTTTTAGTAAGAAAAGTTATGCGACAAAAGTTCAGAAAAACCCGGGACCTCCATGTCACGTGTACGAGTTAATTACTCTCGTCACTTGATCCCTCTACCCTTAGTTTCTTTCCTTTGCTTTAACATAACAGTTCTTGACTAGATTCTTTTATCATTATAACATAAATATAAATGTGGGGGAACATAATTGGGGAGGGGACCACCGAGCACCCGGGGAGTGCCAGCTCATCTGAAGTTGGTGTCGGCGAGGGGACTGTCGGACTCCAATAGTCTGCGTCTCGACAGGTATTTTCCAAGTTCCGATGTAGAACAGTCACTCTCAAAGGCGGTACTTTCTGCATGGCATGTTTGAGTGTCCG